GGGGCTATGATATCTTTCCCAGCGGGGCTATGATTTCTTTCCCAGCGGGGCTATGATATCTTTCCCAGCGGGGCTATGATATCTTTCCCAGGGGGGCTATGATATCTTTCTAAGGGGGGCTATGATATCTTTCCCAGGGGGGCTATGATATCTTTCCCATGGGGGCTATGATATCTTTCCCAGGGGGGCTATGATATCTTTCCCAGGGGGGCTATGATATCTTTCCCATGGGGGCTATGATATCTTTCCCATGGGGGCTATGATATCTTTCCCAGGGGGGCTATGATATCTTTCCCAGGGGGGCTATGATATCTTTCCCAGGGGGGCTATGATATCTTTCCCAGGGGGGCTATGATATCTTTCCCAGGGGGGCTATGATATCTTTCCCAGGGGGGCTATGATATCTTTCCCAGGGGGGGCTATGATATCTTTCCCAGGGAGGCTATGATATCTTTCCCAGGGGGGCTATGATATCTTTCCCAGGGGGGTTATGATATCTTTCCCATGGGGGCTATGATATCTTTCCCATGGGGGCTATGATATCTTTCCCATAGGGGCTATGATATCTTTCCCAGGGGGGCTATGATATCTTTCCCAGCGGGGCAATGATATCTTTCCCAGGTGGGCTATAATATCTTTCCCAGGGGGCTATGATATCTTTCCTAGGGGATATTTTATCTTTCCCAGGGGGCTATGATATCTTTCCTAGGGGATATAATATCTTTCCCAGGGGGCTATGATATCTTTCCCAGGGGGGCTATGATATCTTTCCCAGGGGGGCTATGATATCTTTCCCAGCGGGGCTATGATATCTTTCCCAGCGGGGCTATGATTTCTTTCCCAGCGGGGCTATGATATCTTTCCCAGCGGGGCTATGATATCTTTCCCAGCGGGGCTATGATATCTTTCCCAGCGGGCTATGATATCTTTCCCAGCGGGGCTATGATATCTTTCCCAGCGGGGCTATGATATCTTTCCCAGCGGGGCTATGATATCTTTCCCAGCGGGGCTATGATATCTTTCCCAGCGGGGCTATGATATCTTTCCCAGCGGGGCTATGATATCTTTCCCAGCGGGGCTATGATATCTTTCCCATGGGGGCTATGATATCTTTCCCATGGGGGCTATGATATCTTTCCCAGGGGGGCTATGATATCTTTCCCAGCGGGGCTATGATATCTTTCCCAGCGGGGCTATGATATCTTTCCCAGCGGGGCTATGATATCTTTCCCAGCGGGGCTATGATATCTTTCCCAGCGGGGCTATGATTTCTTTCCCAGCGGGGCTATGATATCTTTCCCAGCGGGGCTATGATATCTTTCCCAGCGGGGCTATGATTTCTTTCCCAGCGGGGCTATGATATCTTTCCCAGCGGGGCTATGATATCTTTCCCAGCGGGGCTATGATATCTTTCCCAGCGGGGCTATGATATCTTTCCCAGCGGGGCTATGATATCTTTCCCAGCGGGGCTATGATATCTTTCCCAGCGGGGCTATGATTTCTTTCCCAGCGGGGCTATGATATCTTTCCCAGCGGGGCTATGATATCTTTCCCAGCGGGGCTATGATTTCTTTCCCAGCGGGGCTATGATATCTTTCCCAGCGGTGCTATGATATCTTTCCCAGCGGGGCTATGATATCTTTCCCAGCGGGGCTATGATATCTTTCCCAGCGGGGCTATGATATCTTTCCCAGCGGGGCTATGATATCTTTCCCAGCGGGGCTATGATATCTTTCCCAGCGGGGCTATGATATCTTTCCCAGCGGGGCTATGATATCTTTCCCAGCGGGGCTATGATATCTTTCCCAGCGGGGCTATGATATCTTTCCCAGCGGGGCTATGATATCTTTCCCAGCGGGGCTATGATATCTTTCCCAGCGGGGCTATGATTTCTTTCCCAGCGGGGCTATGATATCTTTCCCAGCGGGGCTATGATATCTTTCCCAGGGGGGCTATGATATCTTTCCCATGGGGGCTATGATATCTTTCCCAGGGGGGCTATGATATCTTTCCCAGGGGGGCTATGATATCTTTCCCAGGGGGGCTATGATATCTTTCCCATGGGGGCTATGATATCTTTCCCAGGGGGGCTATGATATCTTTCCCAGGGGGGCTATGATATCTTTCCCATGGGGGCTATGATATCTTTCCCAGGGGGGCTATGATATCTTTCCCAGGGGGGCTATGATATTTTTCCCAGGGGGGCTATGATATCTTTCCCATGGGGGCTATGATATCTTTCCCATAGGGGCTATGATATCTTTCCCAGGGGGGCTATGATATCTTTCCCAGCGGGGCAATGATATCTTTCCCAGGTGGGCTATAATATCTTTCCCAGGGGGCTATGATATCTTTCCTAGGGGATATTTTATCTTTCCCAGGGGGCTATGATATCTTTCCTAGGGGATATAATATCTTTCCCAGGGGGCTATGATATCTTTCTTAGGGGGGCTATGATATCTTTCCCAGGGGGGCTATGATATCTTTCCCAGGGGGGCTATGATATCTTTCCTATGGGGGCTATGATATCTTTCCCAGGGGGGCTATGATATCTTTCCCAGGGGGGCTATGATATCTTTCCCAGGGGGGCTATGATATCTTTCCCAGCGGGGCTATGATATCTTTCCCATGGGGGCTATGATATCTTTCCAAGGGGGGGCTATGATATCTTTCCCATGGGGGCTATGATATCTTTCCCATGGGGGCTATGATATCTTTCCCATGGGGGCTATGATATCTTTCCCAGGGGGGCTATGATATCTTTCCCAGCGGGGCAATGATATCTTTCCCAGGGGGGCTATAATATCTTTCCCAGGGGGCTATGATATCTTTCCTAGGGGATATAATATCTTTCCCAGGGGGCTATGATATCTTTCCTAGGGGATATAATATCTTTCCCAGGGGGCTATGATATCTTTCCCATGGGGGCTATGATATCTTTCCCATGGGGGCTATGATATCTTTCCCAGGGGGGCTATGATATCTTTCCCAGGGGGCTATGATATCTTTCCCAAGGGGGCTATGATATCTTTCCAAGTGGGCTATGATATCTTTCCCAGCGGGGCTATGATATCTTTCCCAGGGGCTATGATATCTTTCCCAGGGGGGCTATGATATCTTTCCCTGCGGGGCTATGATATCTTTCCCAGGGGGGCTATGCTATCTTTCCCAGGGGGCTATGATATCTTTTCCAGGGGGGCTATGATATCTTTCCCAGGGGGCTATGATATCTTTCCCATGGGGGCTATGATATCTTTCCCATGGGGGCTATGATATCTTTCCCATGGGGGCTATGATATCTTTCCCAGCGGGGCTATGATATCTTTCCCAGGGGGCTATGATATCTTTCCCAGGGGGGCTATGATATCTTTCCCAGTGGGGCTATGAATTCTTTCCCAGGGGGCTATGATATCTTTCCCAGGGGGGCTATGATATCTTTCCCAGGGGGGCTATGATATCTTTCCCAGGGGGGCTATGATATCTTTCCCAGGGGGCTATGATATCTTTCCTAGGGGATATAATATCTTTCCCAGGGGGCTATGAAATCTTTCCCAGGGGGGCTATGATATCTTTCCCAGGGGGGCTATGATATCTTTCCCAGGGGGGCTATGATATCTTTCCTATGGGGGCTATGATATCTTTCCCAGGGGGGCTATGATATCTTTCCCAGGGGGGCTATGATATCTTTCCCAGGGGGGCTATGATATCTTTCCCAGCGGGGCTATGATATCTTTCCCATGGGGGCTATGATATCTTTCCAAGGGGGGGCTATGATATCTTTCCCATATGGGCTATGATATCTTTCCCATGGGGGCTATGATATCTTTCCCATGGGGGCTATGATATCTTTCCCAGGGGGGCTATGATATCTTTCCCAGCGGGGCAATGATATCTTTCCCAGGGGGGCTATAATATCTTTCCCAGGGGGCTATGATATCTTTCCTAGGGGATATAATATCTTTCCCAGGGGGCTATGATATCTTTCCTAGGGGATATAATATCTTTCCCAGGGGGCTATGATATCTTTCCCATGGGGGCTATGATATCTTTCCCATGGGGGCTATGATATCTTTCCCAGGGGGGCTATGATATCTTTCCCAGGGGGCTATGATATCTTTCCCAAGGGGGCTATGATATCTTTCCAAGTGGGCTATGATATCTTTCCCAGCGGGGCTATGATATCTTTCCCAGGGGGCTATGATATCTTTCCCAGGGGGGCTATGATATCTTTCCCTGCGGGGCTATGATATCTTTCCCAGGGGGCTATGATATCTTTCCCAGGGGGCTATGATATCTTTCCCAGGGGGGCTATGATATCTTTCCCAGGGGGCTATGATATCTTTCCCATGGGGGCTATGATATCTTTCTCATGGGGGCTATGATATCTTTCCCATGGGGGCTATGATATCTTTCCCAGCGGGGCTATGATATCTTTCCCAGGGGGCTATGATATCTTTCCCAGGGGGGCTATGATATCTTTCCCAGGGGGCTATGATATCTTTCCCAGGGGATAGAATATCTTTCCCAGGGGGCTATGATATCTTTCCTAGGGGGCTATGATATCTTTCCCAGGGGGCTATGATATCTTTCCTAGCTGTGGTGACGGAAGGGTGGAGTTGCAGTGAGCCATGTGGCCACATGGCCAAGGTGTGGTGTGACTCTGGCCACATGGCCAAGGTGTGGTGTGACTCTGGCCACATGGCCAAGGTGTGGTGTGACTCTGGCCACATGGCCATGGTGAGGTGTGGCTCTGGCCACATGGCCATGGTGTGGTGTGACTCTGGCCACATGGCCAAGGTGTGGTGTGACTCTGGCCACATGGCCAAGGTGTGGTGTGACTCTGGCCACATGGCCATGGGTGAGGTGTGGCTCTGGCCACATGGCCATGGTGTGGTGTGACTCTGGCCACATGGCCAAGGTGTGGTGTGACTCTGGCCACACGGCCAAGGTGTGGTGTGGCTCTGGTCACATGGCCATGGGTGTGGTGTGGCTCTGGCCACATGGCCAAGGTGTGGTGTGACTCTGGCCACATGGCCAAGGTGTGGTGTGGCTCTGGCCACATGGCCATGGTTAAGTTAGGTGTTTAGGTTGATGAATTCGTCTTTGGGGTCGACCGCTGGAGGGAATGGACTTGACTCGAGGACGGGTTGCAAGAATAGTGAATTTTCTTCACCTATACAGCCTAAATGTTAGGTCCCATTTACTGCCCTTGTTAGGCCCTGTTTTAGCCCTGGTTCTATTGTTCTTCTATTGGAAATTCGAACTTCATTTTGCCAATTTTTCAGTCAATCTTTTTCACACGTCTTCTATGTGTTTATTACATGATATAGTTTATAATGTATTTATTTATTTACGGCAATCATTTCATTTAGTGAGCTGAGGTTGGCACCACGACCATTAGACCAGCTGAGGTTGGCACCAGGACCATTAGACCAGCTGAGGTTGGCACCACGACCATTAGACCAGCTGAGGTTGGCACCACGACCATTAGACCAGCTGAGGTTGACACCAGGACCATTACACCAGCTGAGGTTGGCACCACGACCATTAGACCAGCTGAGGTTGGCACCACGACCATTAGACCAGCTGAGGTTGGCACCAGGACCATTAGACCAGCTGTGGTTGGCACCAGGACCATTAGACCAGCTGAGGTTGGCACCACGACCATTAGACCAGCTGAGGTTGGCACCAGGACCATTACACCAGCTGAGGTTGGCACCACGACCATTAGACCAGCTGAGGTTGGCACCACGACCATTAGACCAGCTGAGGTTGGCACCACGACCATTAGACCAGCTGTGGTTGGCACCACGACCATTAGACCAGCTGAGGTTGGCACCACGACCATTAGACCAGCTGAGGTTGGCACCACGACCATTAGACCAGCTGAGGTTGGCACCAGGACCATTACACCAGCTGAGGTTGGCACCACGACCATTAGACCAGCTGTGGTTGGCACCAGGACCATTAGACCAGCTGAGGTTGGCACCACGGCCATTAGACCAGCTGAGGTTGACACCACGACCATTAGACCAGCTGAGGTTGGCACCACGACCATTAGACCAGCTGAGGTTGGCACCAGGACCATTAGACCAACTGTGGTTGGCACCAGGACCATTAGACCAGCTTTTTTTCTACCACAGACGTGGCCGGACATTTTCAGTGCTAACCACTATATACACATTTTCTTCTGTCCTCCATGGACAGGGTGAGAGATGTGTTAAACATATAGTTCAAGGATTTATTGAACAATCAACCACAGAAGGTGATTGTAGTGATTTTAAACTGCTAATGTAACCTACAGACATAAATACACCGATTTACGTCTGTCCGACACAGTGTTCGAGGTGTCTTTTACAGTGTCATTAATGTGCGTTTACAAAGATGAAGTGCAATTCTGACCAGCTAACACATATCATGTATGCAAATACACACACATATACATATATTCACATATCCCCATATATATATGTCGTACCTAGTAGCCAAAACTCACTTTTTGGCCTACTATTCAAGGCCCGATTTGCCTAATAAGCCAAGTTTTCCTGAAATAATATATTTTTTCTAATTTTTTTCTTATGAAATGATAAAGCTACCCATTTCATTATGCATGAGGTCAATTTTTTTTTTATTGGAGTTAAAATTAACGTAGATATATGACCGAACCTAACCAACCCTACCTAACCTAACCTAACCTATCTTCATAGGTTAGGTTAGGTTAGGTAGCCGAAAACGTTAGGTTAGGTTAGGTTAGGTAGGTTAGGTAGTCGAAAAAAACATTAATTCATTAAAACTAGGCTTATTAGGCAAATCTGGCCTTGCATAGTAGGCTGAGAAGTGCGTTCTGGCTACTAGGTACGACATATATATATACATACACCTATGTCTCTCCTACTTTGACAGGGTGTGACAGCTTCTACTGACACTAGTGTGATGTTAAACACTTAACTACTGAAGGTGATGAACGTGCTGTTACAAGCTCAGGTTGTAGTGACATACATTGTATAACAGATGTATTACATATTGTACAGGTAAATACATTGTATAACAGATGTATTACATATTGTACAGGTAAATACATTGTATAACAAATGTATTACATATTGTACAGGTAAATACATTGTATAACAGATGTATTACATATTGTACAGGTAAATACATTGCATAACAAATGTATTACATATTGTACAGGTAAATACATTGTATAACAGATGTATTACATATTGTACAGGTAAATACATTGTATAACAGATGTATTACATATTGTACAGGTAAATACATTGTATAACAGATGTATTACATATTGTACAGGTAAATACATTGCATAACAAATGTATTACATATTGTACAGGTAAATACATTGTATAACAGATGTATTACATATTGTATAGGTAAATACATTGTATATCAGATGCAATTACATAGTCGGTCTTGGGTACAAGTTCAATATATCAAGTGTTGCAGTATTCAGATAATATGTACAGAGTTCAGCATACCTGAGCCCCGGAGGGCGAAAGTCAAGGCGTGGTTGGCACCAATTTAAACATCGGACTTACAATTAAATAAGTACGACAGTGAAGGAACTTGTTCAAATAAAGCACAAGTGTTTACACAAAGTTTAGTACAAAGTTAATTTTCAAGATCATATGATAATTATTTTCACAGCAACACCAACGGATTTCAGGAGATTAGATTGTTACGGAGCAAGATTTATGGAGGCAGTTGGCTATTGAGACAAGGTGTTGGGGTGCTGGAGGTGTAGTCAAATTAGGCCCAGGTGCAGTCTTCTCCAGCCCCAACACCTTCCACTTCCCATTACTTGAACCTGACTGGCCACTTCAACAAGTTCACGAGCCCGCTATTGGCTGAAGCTGTTTTTGGAGCGAAGAGCTCTGATTGGAGGGATGGCGACCAGTAGAGGTTGTTTTTGGCGCGAATCTCTCCTGGCTAGCCAATTGTTGCTCGGCGCTGGCTTAATTGGTAATGTATTTTGGCGGGGCGGGGGGGGGGGGGGTTCAGCGTGTCTCAGCAAGATGAAGTATCACGCTAAATTGTCCCCGTGACGACTGGATTAATTATTTACCTGTGAGGCAACATCTGATGTATTTTAGTTGCCGCCACAGTCTTGCCTGGAGTAATTAATGGCCACTACTGAGGTGGGGAGAGCTGCGGGGGACAGTAACGGTGCTTCACTGTAACCCTGCCTCGCCGTAACCCTGCCTCACTGTAACCCTGCCTCACTGTAACCCTGCCTCACTGCCTCACTGTAACCCTGCCTCACTGTAACCCTGCCTCACTGTAACCCTGCCTCACCGTAACCCTGCCTCTCACCGTAACCCTGCCTCACTGTAACACTGCCTCACTGTAACCCTGCCTCACTGTAACCCTGCCTCACTGTAACCCTGCCTCACTGTAACCCTGCCTCACTGTAACCCTGCCTCACTGTAACACTGCCTCACCGTAACCCTGCCTCGCCGTAACCCTGCCTCACTGTAACCCTGCCTCGCCGTAACCCTGCCTCACTGTAACCCTGCCTCTCACCGTAACCCTGCCTCACTGTAACACTGCCTCACCGTAACCCTGCCTCACTGTAACCCTGCCTCACCGTAACCCTGCCTCGTGTATTCCAGTAATACAGTGACCACGTGTATTCCAGTAATACAGCGCATATCTGTGTTAAGGTTATGCAGGAATATTTGAACACCAACTTATACCACAGTGTTCACGTGTTCAACTTATACCACAGTGTTCACGTGTTCAACTTATACCACAGTGTTCACGTGTTCAACTTATACCACAGTGTTCACGTGTTCAACTTATACCACAGTGTTCACGTGTTCAACTTATACCACAGTGTTCACGTGTTCAACTTATACCACAGTGTTCAACTTATACCACAGTGTTCACGTGTTCAACTTATACCACAGTGTTCACGTGTTCAACTAATACCACAGTGTTCACGTGAGGAACAAGGCACCAGGGGAGAGTTCAACGCCAGCCCCGGCTCACAATGTCTGCTGTCTCAACACATATTTACACGCCACACACCTGCGTTGATGAACACCATCAGTCATAATACACTCTGGTATACACACGTTGTCATACACTGTATCATACACTCGTTGTAATACACTGTGATACAGTCATTGTAGTAATACACTGTCATTTACACGTTGTTCAAATTCACTCTGGCATACACACGTTGTAATACACTGACTCATACACATGTTGTTTTAATACACTGTCATACACGTTGATTTTGAAATACACTCTGGCATACACTCGTTGGTGTAATACACCAGTTAAAATGTTGTCATACACTGTAAAATTAGCACAACAATTTGATTCATTATTTGTCAACGCTCATGTTTGGTGGGTCCTCCACCACCACCTGTCAGAAGCCGGCTTGTTCCCGCGGGGAGGTGGGCCGCACCTGCGTGCTTGGCCGCGGGGAGGTGGGCCGCACCTGCGTGCTTGGCCGCGGGGAAGTGGGCCGCACCTGCGTGCTTGGCCGCGGGGAGGTGGGCCGCACCTGCGTGCTTGGCCGCGGGGAGGTGGGCCGCACCTGCGTGCTTGGCCGCGGGGAGGTGGGCCGCATCTGCGTTCTTGGCCGCGGGGAGGTGGGCCGCACCTGCGTGCTTGGCCGCGGGGAGGTGGGCCGCACCTGCGTGCTTGGCCGCGGGGAGGTGGGCCGCATCTGCGTGCTTGACCGCGGGGAGGTGGGCCGCACCTCCGTCAAGAAACTGTCGTACTAGAGTACTCTTATACTAACCTACCAGAGGACCAAAAACAGAAAACAGGACAGTACGTTACTTTCGCCCTTATAATAGTCAACATATACCTCCCCTGGCTTTGTGCCCTGGAGAGGCCACTCCTGACCCACAACCACAGCTCAACTCCATAGTCTCCTGAGACTGATGGATGTCCACTACTCAGTATTCGGTGGAATAGGGTATATACTGGCTGTTTATAATGGAATGTTTGCTGGCACCAGGACTCTGACAATGTCCCTGATGCCGAATCGTCGTCGATTTCTGTGTTGGGGTTTACTTTCCGATGTCAATATGCTGGCCAGCCCCGTATGTGTTATAGATGTGGATTGACGGATCACCTGGCGGCGGCGACGTGTGGCTGGCGCAGCTGAGCCAACTGCCGGTGGCGAGCGAGGGGTCGGTGGTGCGCCCTGTGGTGCAGGGGTCGCCTGCCGCCGGTATGTTTGGCTGTGGTTGAGCCTGACGGGCCGGGTGTCCAGCCGGGTGCAACTGGTGGTTCACGGGGTGCTGAAGACGGTGCTGGTAGAGGTGCCTCCCTTATCTTAAGGTGCTTCCGGGGCTTAGCGTCCCCGCGGCCCGGTCGTCGACCAGGCCTCCAGATTGCTGGACTGATCAACCAGACTGTTGGACGCGGCTGCTCGCAGCCTGACGTATGAGTCACAGCCTGATTAATCATGTACGCCCTCAGAGGCGTACCCTGCTGCTGTAGTGCCTTCCCGGCTTGGTGCCTCCCTCAGAGGCGTACCCTGCTGCTGTAGTGCCTTCCCGGCTTGGTGCCTCCCTCAGAGGCGTCCCCTTCCGGTGTAGTGTGCGGGTCTGGTGCGGCTGCTCCGCCTACGGAGCCACTTGAGATGAGGATTACCCCGTCTTCTCAGCTGGTGCGGCCTCAGGAAGCGTCGCGTACGGCTGAGCTGGTCCCTAAGCTGTCACGCAGGAAGGGCGCTGCCAGGTTGTGGTCCCTTGGTGGTGAGGAGATAATGGAGGATAGTTTGGGTGTGGTGGTTGTCGAGGAGCCGGGACGGGGTGAGGTTCCTTAATGGCCGGTGGGGCCCCCTGTGCAAGGTGCCCGAGGTGGGGGTAGTTGCCCCTGGCGCCGGCGGGCGTGAAGGATTTACGGTTAGTATTGAAGAAGGCGTCAGTCGCTCCTCCTTCAGGGGTTTCCCCCTTCTTGGAGCCGCCCTGCCCCCTCGGGGGTGTGTGGGTAGTTGGGGGCGAGAAGATCCGCAAGTGTTGGACAAGTACCCGCCTCCTGCTGGGTGTTGGTGGTTGGTGGGCGGCAGCTGCCACTCACCTTAGGCATGTGTGTGTGTTGACTTGTGTTTGCTTGCTTACTTTGTATGTCTTGGGTGTTGGCTAAATGCGCTTTATTGTTTATAATTGGTTGCCTTTGTGCTTTTGAACCCTTACTGTTTGTGGCTCGTGTGTGTGTGTACTCACCTAGTTGTACTCACCTAGTTGTGTTTGCGGGGGTTGAGCTCTGGCTCTTTGGTCCCGCCTCTCAACCGTGGCACGCGGTTGTGTGTGTGTGTGTGTGTGTGTGTGTGTGTGTGTGTGTGTGTGTGTGTGTGTGTGTGTGTGTTTACTAGTTGTGTTTTTGCGGGGGTTGAGCTTTGCTCTTTCGGCCCGCCTCTCAACTGTCAATCAACTGTTTACTAACTACTTTTTTTTTTCACACCACACACACACACCCCAGGAAGCAGCCCGTGACAGCTGACTAACTCCCAGGTACCTATTTACTGCTAGGTAACAGGGGCACTTAGGGTGAAAGAAACTTTGCCCATTTGTTTCTGCCTCGTGCGGGAATCGAACCCGCGCCACAGAATTACGAGTCCTGCGCGCTATCCACCAGGCTACGAGGCGCCCCCCCGTGTGTGTGTGTGTGTGTGTGTGTGTGTGTGTGTGTGTGTGTGTGTGTGTGTGTGTGTGTGTGTGGTGGGTCCGCTCTGTTTTTCATTGTGATGTTCATTCAGGTCTTGAGTCTGGCCTGTCGCTTGACCGTGTTCCCTTATATTGTCCTGTTTATCTGTGAACGGCTGTATGTGTGTGGTTGACGGCTGCCCTCGTCTTGCCTCCTCCTACCCGCTGCTAATCACTGTGGTGGGTGGTAGCGGCCTCAGTAACGAGGTCCATTCTGTGCGTTCTTGTAGCTTATGTATTTCTGTATTTTTGTTGTGTGCTACTGGTGCTCTGTATTTGTGGTACCTTACCTGTGTTCCGCGTGTGTGGTGGTGGTGTGTGTATGGTGCGCGTGTATGGTGGTGTGTGTGGTGGTGTGTGTGTATGGTGCGCGCGTGTGGTGGTGTATGGTGCGCGTGTATGGTGGTGTGTGTATGGTGCGCGTCTGTGGTGGTGTGTGTATGGTGCGCGTGTGTGGTAGTGTGTGTGTATGGTGCGCGTGTGTGGTGGTGTGTGTGGTGGTGTGTGTATGGTGCGCGTGTGTGGTGGTGTGTGTATGGTGCGCGTGTGTGGTGGTGTGTGTATGGTGCGCGTGTGTGGTGGTGTGTGTATGGTGCGCGTGTGTGGTGGTGTGTGTATGGTGCGCGTGTGTGGTGGTGTGTGTATGGTGCGCGTGTGTGGTGGTGTGTGTATGGTGCGCGTGTGTGGTGGTGTGTGTATGGTGCGCGTGTGTGGTGGTGTGTGTATGGTGCGCGTGTATGGTGGTGTGTGTGGTGTGTGTATGGTGCGCGTGTGTGGTGTGTGTATGGTGCGCGTGTGTGGTGGTGTGTGTATGGTGCGCGTGTGTGGTGGTGTGTGTATGGTGCGCGTGTGTGGTGGTGTGTGTATGGTGCGCGTGTGTGGTGGTGTGTGTATGGTGCGCGTGTGTGGTGGTGTGTGTATGGTGCGCGTGTGTGGTGGTGTATGTATGGTGCGCGTGTATGGTGGTGTGTGTATGGTGCGCGTGTGTGGTGGTGTATGTATGGTGCGCGTGTATGGTGGTGTGTGTATGGTGCGCGTGTGTGGTGGTGTATGTATGGTGCGCGTGTATGGTGGTGTGTGTATGGTGCGCGTGTGTGGTGGTGTGTGTATGGTGCGCGTGTATGGTGGTGTGTGTATGGTGCGCGTGTATGGTGGTGTATGTATGGTGCGCGTGTGTGGTGGTGTATGTATGGTGCGCGTGTGTGGTGGTGTATGTATGGTGCGCGTGTGTGGTGGTGTGTGTATGGTGCGCGTGTGTGGTGGTGTGTGTGTATGGTGGTGTGTGTGGTCGTGTATGTATGGTGCGCGTGTATGGTGGTGTGTGTATGGTGGTGTGTGTGGTGGTGTGTATGGTGCGCGTGTGTGGTGGTGTGTGTATGGTGCGCGTGTGTGGTGGTGTGTGTATGGTGCGCGTGTATGGTGGTGTGTGTATGGTGGTGTGTGTGGTGGTGTATGTATGGTGCGCGTGTGTGGTGGTGTATGTATGGTGCGCGTGTGTGGTGGTGTTTGTATGGTGCGCGTGTGTGGTGGTGTGTGTATGGTGCGCGTGTGTGGTGGTGTGTGTATGGTGCGCGTGTGTGGTGGTGTGTGTATGGTGTGCGTGTGTGGTGGTGTATGTATGGTGCGCGTGTGTGGTGGTGTGTGTATGGTGCGCGTGTGTGGTGGTGTATGTATGGTGCGCGTGTGTGGTGGTGTATGTATGGTGCGCGTGTGTGGTGGTGTGTATGGTGCGCGTGTGTGGTGGTGTGTGTATGGTGCGCGTGTGTGGTGTGTGTATGGTGCGCGTGTGTGGTGGTGTGTGTATGGTGGTGTGTGTGGTGGTGTGTGTATGGTGCGCGTGTATGGTGGTGTGTGTATGGTGCGCGTGTATGGTGGTGTGTGTATGGTGCGCGTGTGTGGTGGTGTGTATGGTGCGCGTGTGTGGTGGTGTGTGTATGGTGCGCGTGTGTGGTGGTGTGTGTATGGTGCGCGTGTATGGTGGTGTGTGTATGGTGGTGTGTGTGGTGGTGTGTGTATGGTGCGCGTGTATGGTGGTGTGTGTATGGTGCGCGTGTGTGGTGGTGTGTGTATGGTGCGCGTGTATGGTGGTGTGTGTATGGTGCGCGTGTGTGGTGGTGTGTGTATGGTGCGCGTGTGTGGTGGTGTGTGTATGGTGCGCGTGTCTGGTGGTGTGTGTATGGTGCGCGTGTGTGGTGGTGTGTGTATGGTGCGCGTGTGTGGTGGTGTGTGTATGGTGCGCGTGTATGGTGGTGTGTGTATGGTGCGCGTGTGTGGTGGTGTGTGTATGGTGCGCGTGTATGGTGGTGTGTGTGGTGCACGTGTATGGTGGTGTATGTATGGTGCGCGTGTGTGGTGGTGTATGTATGGTGCGTGTGTGTGGTGGTGTATGTATGGTGCACGTGTGTGGTGGTGTATGGTGCACGTGTGTGGTGGTGAATGGTGCGCGTGTGTGGTGGTGAATGGTGCGCGTGTGTGGTGGTGTATGGTGCGCGTGTATGGTGGTGTATGGTGCGCGTGTGTGGTGGTGTATGGTGCGCGTGTGTGGTGGTGTATGGTGCGCGTGTGTGGTGGTGTATGGTGCGCGTGTGTGGTGGTGTATGGTGCGCGTGTGTGGTGGTGTATGGTGCGCGTGTGTGGTGGTGTATGGTGCGCGTGTGTGGTGGTGTATGGTGCGCGTGTGTGGTAGTGTATGGTGCGCGTGTGTGGTGGTGTATGGTGCGCGTGTGTGCCCTGTGCCCTGGATACACCTATTAGTGTCGGGTATATATTGTTTTGATTTGAGTATTGAGTGTTGCCTTGCCAGTGTTTCCCGGGTGTAGTTATGTTACCCTCTATCAGCACCTGTGTGTGTACCCTGATGCCTGTCTGTGTATTACACTGCTGCTTGTATACTCACCTCGCTGTACACACCTAGTTGTGCTTGCGGGGGTTGAGCTCTGGCTCTTTGGTTCCGCCTCTCAACTGTCAATCAACTGGTGTACAGGTTCCTGAGCCTATTAGGCTCTATCATATCAACACTTGAAACTGTGTATGGAGTCAGCCTCCACCACATCACTGCCTAATGCATTCCACCTGTTAACTACTCTGACACTGAAAAAGTTCTTTCTAACGTCCCTGTGGCTCATGTGGGTACTCAGTCTCCACCTGTGTCCCCTTGTTCGTGTTCCCTCCAGACCTGGAGGGAACACAGTCCTGGAGGGAACACTGACCTGGAGGGAACACTGTCCTGGAGGGAACACAGTGCTGGAGGGAACACTGACCTGGAGGGAACACTGTCCTGGAGGGAACACAGTGCTGGAGGGAACACAGTCCTGGAGGGAACACTGACCTGGAGGGAACACTGTCCTGGAGGGAACACAGTGCTGGAGGGAACACTGTCCTGGAGGGAACACTGTCCTGGAGGGAACACTGTCCTGGAGGGAACACAGTGCTGGAGGGAACACTGTCCTGGAGGGAACACTGTCCTGGAGGGAACACTGTCCTGGAGGGAACACTGTCCTGGAGGGAACACAGTGCTGGAGGGAACACTGTCCTGGAGGGAACACTGTCCTGGAGGGAACACAGTGCTGGAGGGAACACTGTCCTGGAGGGAACACTGTCCTGGAGGGAACACTGTCCTGGAGGGAACACTGTGCTGGAGGGAACACTGTCCTGGAGGGAACACTGTCCTGGAGGGAACACTGTCCTGGAGGGAACACTGTGCTGGAGGGAACACTGTCCTGGAGGGAACACTGTCCTGGAGGGAACACAGTCCTGGAGGGAACACAGTCCTGGAGGGAACACAGTCCTGGAGGGAACACAGTCCTGGAGGGAACACAGTCCTGGAGGGAACACTGTCCTGGAGGGAACACTGTCCTGGAGGGAACACTGTCCTGGAGGGAACACTGTCCTGGAGGGAACACTGTCCTGGAGGGAACACAGTGCTGGAGGGAACACTGTCCTGGAGGGAACACTGTCCTGGAGGGAACACTGTCCTGGAACACTGTCCTGGGGAACACTGTCCTGGAGGGAACACTGTCCTGGAGGGAACACTGTCCTGGAGGGAACACTGTCCTGGAGGGAACACTGTCCTGGAGGGAACACAGTGCTGGAGGGAACACTGTCCTGGAGGGAACACTGTCCTGGAGGGAACACTGTCCTGGAGGGAACACTGTCCTGGAGGGAACACTGTCCTGGAGGGAACACTGTCCTGGAGGGAACACTGTCCTGGAGAGAACACTGTGCTGGAGGGAACACTGTCCTGGAGGGAACACAGTCCTGGAGGGAACACTGTCCTGGAGGGAACACTGTCCTGGAGGGAACACTGTCCTGGAGGGAACACTGTCCTGGAGGGAACACTGTCCTGGAGGGAACACTGTCCTGGAGGGAACACTGTCCTGGAGGGAACACTGTCCTGGAGGGAACACTGTCCTGGAGGGAACACTGTCCTGGAGGGAACACTGTCCTGGAGGGAACACTGTCCTGGAGGGAACACAGTCCTGGAGGGAACACAGTCCTGGAGGGAACACAGTCCTGGAGGGAACACAGTCCTGGAGGGAACACTGTCCTGGAGGGAACACTGTCCTGGAAGGAACACAGTCCTGGAGGGAACACTGTCCTGGAGGGAACACAGTCCTGGAGGGAACACTGTCCTGGATGGAACACTGTCCTGGAGGGAACACTGTCCTGGAGGGAACACTGTCCTGGAGGGAACACAGTGCTGGAGGGAACACAAACTACTATAAAAGGCTGTATGAAAAATAAGATGGTCAGGGAACCATTAAAGTCTCCTAACGATCACTAAGACTTGGGCTCGGCAATGGATTTCTTAATCACCAGATGATAGTTACCCGGTGACAGCGGACCAGTAGCAGCCGTGGGGGCGCTCTCCTCCACCAATAAGAACCCCGGGTTACTCCCCCACGGGATGGCGCTCTCCTCCACCAATAAGAACCCCGGGTTACTCCCCCACGGGATGGCGCTCTCCTCCACCAATAAGAACCCCGGGTTACTCCCCCACGGGATGAAGGGACCAGTAGCAGCCGTGGGGGCGCCCTCCTCCACCAATAAGAACCCCGGGTTACTCCCCCACGGGATGAAGGGACCAGTAGCAGCCGTGGGGGCGCCCTCCTCCACCAATAAGAACCCCGGGTTACTCCCCCACGGGATGAAGGGACCAGTAGCAGCCGTGGGGGCGCCCTCCTCCACCAATAAGAACCCCGGGTTACTCCCCCACGGGATGAAGGGACCAGTAGCAGCCGTGGGGGCGCCCTCCTCCACCAATAAGAACCCCGGGTTACTCCCCCACGGGATGAAGGGACCAGTAGCAGCCGTGGGGGCGCTCTCCTCCACCAATAAGAACCCCG